CAGGGTGCCCAATACTACGCAATTGTACGACGAAAGAATTTTTCTACCGTCATCGTAAGCGCCAACACCAACTTTTATTATTGCATTGTTTGATAGTAATTCCTATGAATAATTTATAATTAATTAATAATGATTAATTATTAATTGTTTACACCATTATTTTGAATAGCTAAGTAAAAAAAATTATTTAAATAAGTACTTGTAATTGCAATGGAACATGTCCCATTTTGCCAATACGAAACACTGCAGCAGTGCCATTATTTGTTGCTAATTGAACTAGAGATACTGGACCTTCATTTACCCATTCGCAATCAAATCCCAGCACTCCATCCGTCAAATTTCTGAGAAATAAAAATAAAGGAATTAATTGAATAATTTAATAATAATAATCATAATTTTATTTGATCATTTTAAAATTATTATCATTACTATGAAATTTAATTTTTTTTTCATTTTTGTAAATTATAAAATTTTTCATCACATTATTATTATTTTTTTTTTTTTTTTTTAATTTGTTTAAAGTCGCATAAACTACTAAGGTCATGAGCGACTACGGTAGGGGGTAAACTTTTGAGATTGGAACTCGTTTGTATTTCTTGGGCTGAGCAGAATAATACACTTAAATATTGAAAATATTCATTGGTGTACGCCGGACTCGAACCCGGTCCAATGCTTTGGTAGCAAGGGCCGGATCCGATAGGCTACTGCGCGCCTACTTATTATTATTATCAATGCTATAAAATTAAAATGAAAATTAAAGTAGCAGATATTTAATAATTTTCATTATTTTTTAAGACATAAATTAGTGCAAAAAAAATTGGCATGTAGAAATTTTAAAAAATAAAAAAAGCAATTTTTTGAAATAATTTTTTCAAACAAATTTGTTTGCTAAATAAAATAAAGAAATGGTCAAGTGACTGCTAGCTTTAATGCCATAAATTCAATTAAATTTTTTATTTTTTAAAATCGTGTAAATGAATTTTTTAGACTGCATTGACCCTCGAAATCAAAACAGTCATTTTTTTTGTGGTATCTCTTTATCTAATGAATTTAAATAAAAATTTTAATTTGCTCTTGAGAGTGAAACCTAGAAATTATGATAATAATAATAATAATAATAATAAT